AAAAGTTCATTTTTAGTATATTGAATATTCATTTTTAATATACTGAATATTACTTTTTGGTATACTATTTTTTTTTCTTTTGAAGGTTTTGGTATGAACTTTTAGTATAAGTAGTATAGACCATGACCGGATCACCTGGCAAATCTGGGACAGAACGCGGAGTGGGGAACCACTTGGTTGGAGCACCCGCCGTTAAGCCTGAACCCGCTTCTAGCAGCCGATGCCTTTGGGGCAAGTGTGGTTAGAGTTTGGTAGTTAGTTCTTTTTCTTTCTCCCCATCTCAACGGGTCTTACTCCATCAAAAAAAAAAAAATAGACCATGATCGGATACAGTATGATGACATATGTTTATTTTTTGAAAACATCCATGAAGACCGAAATGTCCTTTGAATTGACCGGAGTTTAATGAGTCCGGATATTAACTCTAACTATAGTAACACCCAATTGTAAACTAATTTATTGTCAAATAACTTGGTACAGTAAGTTAAGAATTTTTATAGACAAAAAATTCCCCTTCACCCAAAAAATGAGTCTCATCATATCGTATTGTCACTACCAAATAATGCTGGAAAATTGACAAATGGCTATTATTGAGATATTATTTTTAGTGGGATTGACTAATAATTTAATCAGGACTATGTGGATTCAGATTATTCTTTGAAGTAAAGAAATGAACTTTATATATTTATATGCCCATAATATTTAATGAGTGAAAAGCTTATTAAGTGAAGAGATGAATGAACATATGTTTATATGCTCATAATATGAGTTAAATTCAGCGAAAGTCCATTGTCTTTGGTAAAAATTTAAAATTTAGTTCCACATTATCGTTTTTGTCATTTAACATCTCATACTATCATATTTTGACACTTATGATCTTTCTGATGACTTTTCCGGTGAAATCCTATTTTACGTAAGGACATAAGTAAAATTTCTCATCCAGAGCATACACAGACACCTTAATGACACTTCCTAGTAGCGATCAACATCCATTTACTGAAACTGTTTATAAAAATTAATAATAAAATTGTCACGGTAAAATGTTCCGAAGTTAGAGCTTGTTCTGCAATTGTTACCCCTCCTCATTTGATTGAATCAATTTCGTAGTGAAATTCAACATGAAACTTAATCAATATTATCGCTATCGTGAGAGCAAGTATTGAAGAATTGAACCGTACAAGTGAAGCACATATACAAAGATATATACCTTGGTGACTAGTCGAGCTAGGCAATGCCGAGGCAGTGAAAGAGAGGGGAGACAAGTGAACTGGCGCGAGAGAATGTGTTGGGACAGGGTGAAGGAGATGAAAACGAGTCGGGTGAAGGAAGTGCAATCCACGTCTGAAGACGAAAAGAGGAAAATAAAAAATAGAAAATTTTAAAACAAAGGAAGAGACGAAAATGTCCTTACTTAAATTAAGATTTCACTAGAAAAGTCATCGGAAGGATCATAAAGTCCGAAATATGATAGTCTATGAGACTAAATTTAAAATTGCAACTAAAGAACGATGGAAATAATATTTAATGAGTGAAAAGTTGATTTTTAAATGTGCCTATTGGGCTTGTTGATGGTTTTTGTACATTTGAAGCAAATATTGTGAGATTGGGCTATGTTGATAGGTTTTGTAGGGGCAATTTTGGTGGGGTTTCCCTGTTTGTGAAGCAAAACAGGCCGTCCGTGGGTTTGAAACCCACGACCACGTGGTTAAAAGCCATGCACTCTACCACTGAGCTAGGACGGCTATTCAATACATGTTAATTTCTTTATATTTTTAAAGTTTTACACCATGGATGATGATAATGGAGTAATATACCTTTGTTAGTGTAATTTTCTTTCGTTATAATCTATGAAAGCAGGAGTAGGTACTCTCGGTTACGTGAGGAAACTAAAATGTTGGGGACAATATTAAATTATTTAGTACGTACTCCTTAGTTATTTATCATTGTATGGTCGTGTTTCTTTTTCAATTTAATTATAAATTTTTTTTAAAAAAATAAAGTCATTTGGTTAGATGGGAGATTTTAGGTTTTTAATAATTAAATATTTAAATTTATGCTTGAAAAGTGTCGTCGAGTAGGTTGTAAGTAGAACATAATTCTCGTATTTAAAGATTACGAGAGTTTGATTATTATCAACACAGTCGGTCAAACTTGTTGCGAAGGATTGAAGGAAAAATATTAAATGTATGTTGTACCTTATAAATTAATTTAAATTTACAATAGTAACACTTTTAAACATTTTTATTTTTAACTATTAAGTTTTAAAGAAATGTACGTTCCAAACATTTCCGGCCAATTTAATTTAGTCAATTTAAAAAAAAAAAAAATACATAGACTAAAGTTGATTGATAGGTTAACTTGAGTAAAATTGATAGTTGAATTTTTTTTTTTTTTTTTTTTGTGTATATCTAGGATTTCCACCGTCGAACACAGTGACTAATACCCTCGTTGAATTGTAGGCACCTTTTTTAGGTAGGACAGCTGGCATGGAGATTTAAGGCTGCTCCATTCCCAAAGTCAAGGATCGAACCAGAATGTAGGGGGTATTGTAATTGGAGATTCAGCCTTTTAGGAGAAGAATTCTATACAATTATATAATATGAGTATGAGTATTAAATTATATATAATATGAGTATGAGTGTTAAAATGATTGCACTCCAATTTTGAGGGTCCATAGCTCATGCCCTACACAACGAAGTTACTAGTAAAATAAATCTATTAATTTATTTTGGATTAGTCAACTAGTTAAAGTTGTGACTTGTGATAGGTGAGTGGTCTTGCACCTAAAAGAGATTACTAATATATATATATTTTTTTTTTTGTGTTTTCATTATTGGATAATTATAATTTCAATGTATATATTCTCAAAATAAATAAATCACTTAAATTTACATACGACTTATTGTTTATCCACAAATTCTTTAACCCTACACTTTGATTTAATAGAAATTCAGCCGCCGTTATTCAAATGTCCTCTTTAGGGGAAGTCCTTTTTTTATCATTGCCAACAAAGGATCACAAGAAAATAAAACAGCTTAGGCTGTTTATAGTTGATCAACTCGATCAAACCAAGACGAGTGATTCTTTTGTGAGACCGTCTCACGAATCCTTATCCATGAGACGGATCGAGTCAATATAGAAATGTATGTAATAGTTATACTGCAAAAATATAATACTAATAAGGAATAAATTAGGCTTTATTACTTATAAGGAAAAATATAATACTTTTGAGAAAAATGTAATACTTTAAAATCAAAATGTAAAAGTATTACATTTTTCCGCAAAAGTATTACATTTTTAAGTGAATTCCATTTTTGGTCCTACTGTTATAGGGGCGCTTCCAATTTTAGTCCACCTTAATTTTTTTTACCACTTTATAACCACTATTATTGAATGTGTTCTACTTTTAGTCCCACCGTTAGTATTTCCATCAAGAGGCCGTGTAATCTAGGGGTATTTCGACCTTTCTTCTCATCCAAGACTATGTTTGACTAAAGAAATGATAACATTAAACCTAAAACCTAAGAAACCTCGTCGGCCCATGTTGGAACGAACGAAACGATGTAGCTTTGGCTTCCATTCTCGTTGTTCGAAGAGCCATCTTCGAATATCGGAGGAGGAGGACGAAGCGCATGGATTAAAAGAGAAGAGACAAACATAAAAAGACCAAAATACCCTTTGATTATACGGCCTCTTGACGGAAATATTAACGGTGGACTAAAAGTGGAACACATTCAATAACAGTGGTTGTAAAGTGGCAAAAAAAATTTAAAGTGGACTGAAATTGGAAACGCCCCTATAACAGTAGGACCAAAAATGGAATTCACTCTACATTTTTCATTATAAGTAACAAACATGTTATTCTTAGTTAATATTATATTTTTCAGTATAAGTATTACAATTTTATATTGACCTAACATGTCTCGAAGACAAAGATATGTGAGACGATCTCACACAAGTTTTTGCCAACCAAAAAAGTCAATAGAAAGCCCCACAAGGTTAAACTTAAAATCATCTTATAATTACCAAGCTAATGGTTTGATCAACTTGAATGTGGTTGACATCTTTCGGTCAAAAAGTAATCTAATCTTTACCAATTTAGATAAACCTCTCCGCATACCAACCACAAAATATACAAACTCAAATTTGAGATTTCAGTTCAACTCGAATACTCGGAATGTGAACTCGATCAGGGACGGAGAAATTGAGAAATTTTTGTAAGTGGGGACGAAGTTTAAATGAATTTAAAAATGTATATGACAAAATATCAAATATCAATAATATATATATATATATATATATATATATATATATATATATATATATATATATTTCAAATGCAAAATACCATATGAATTACAATACAATATTCATAATGACTATGGTATAATTTGGGGCAAAGTCAAAAATATATTTGAGTGAGTAAATTTTAAAGAACTATAAAAATATTTATGACAAAATATGAAATATAATCAATTTGATAAAATATAAATTGAACAAAAAAATACACTATAAACCACATATCATATTTATTGATAAATATATTAGTAAAGCCCTTCCTCTATTGTGAAGGGCCGGGGTTAAAAAACTAGTTAAATGTTGTTCCAAAACGTAACTTATAATATCAAATTTTAAAGGACAACCAACTAAGCTATTCAAATACTTATATATATAAAAAGGGGTGGGAAGGAATGAGATATAAAAAGGTGGAAAGGAATGAGTGAGACCTTTCATTTGAGGGACCAAAGCTATGCCACTTGAGCCTTTGGAAATCTTTCATATAAATAACTAATGAATATAAAAGGAACTTTTTCAAAATGTAACTAACATTTTCCTTTTAACTCACGGGAATAACGTTATATATAATGCCTATCAGCCTATATATGAAGTATGAAATATACTTCAATGTATATTATATTTCATGTGAGGAGTTTTCTTTAATTTGCATACAAAAAAGTAAAATTCCCTTCATCCCCAAGATTCTCACACATCAATCTAACAAAACAGTGGAGAGATAAATCACAGTGACTTGACGGCTCATTTAGTGGGAGAATCAGTGCTTAGTGTCTACGATCATGTGTCCTTGTTCAGAATCTACCACTCAAGAACAATTAAACTGGCGTGGGCAAGCAAGTTTTCTTTAATTTGACTGCATATAGTAAAGCTAAAATTTGTGGGAACAAACACAAAATATGGGTGCATCTTTATCATCATCCTGCATTCAAAATAAGAAGCACTCAACTGCTGCAAAACTTTACACAGTCCTCAGCATTGATGGAGGTGGCATTAGAGGAATCATTCCTGCTACGATTCTTGAGTTTCTTGAATCCCAGCTTCAGGTTTATTCATTCTGCTTCTATATATATGTTCAGGAAATATATTATGATGAATATATATATATATATATATATATATATATATATATATATATATATATATATATATATATATATATGATGAAAGCAATATAATGAATTGGATGGTGTTTTGATATAGGATCTGGATGGGGAAGGTGCGAGAATTGCAGATTACTTTGATGTGATTGCAGGAACAAGTGTTGGTGGTCTCATAGCCACCATGTTAGCTACTCCCGATGAACATAACCGGCCGGCCTTCTCCGCCAAGGATATCACACCTATGCTTTTTGAATATGGGCCTTTTATCTTCCCATCAGGAAGGTCTTCATTTTAATTTACCACTCCCTCTATTTTATTAGTATATTGATTTTCTTGATTTGAACTTAGCTTGTTTGCTATGGATAACTTAGATTGATTTATCTTTTTATAATTTTTTGTTGGTTAGGATGACAGGGTGAGATATATCCTATGTATATCATCTGGTAGTAAATGTGAATTTTTCTGGTCATCATTAAAAAAAAAAAAAAAAACATAAAATTTTAAGGTGTCGATTTACACGAGATACAATAAAAATGCAATGCAAGCTAACGTAATTGTAACCTAAACAACATTGTAACTGTTAGCTGATCGATCGGGTTGGAGGGTATGACTAGTTGATAATCTGATTGTAGAAAAGTGTTTGGTAAATTAGTTGTTAGCTGATAGCGGTTTGATATAATTTCTTTTCTCAGAAAGCTAATTGAAAAAATTATTTTGAACAGTTTTTTGAATTTTAGCATTTTGGGATTACAAAAAGTTGATTAACCAAACATTTATATTGACTTTTAATCAAATCAAACATCTAATAGTGGTAAAATAAATCAAAATTGATTGATAAACTAATTATTTTACCAAACAGGATCATAATCAATCTCGATCAACACCTTAAATTTTGAGGATATCACCAAGTTCGTACATTGATACAAACATGTGTGTCGTGTTGTGTGTTTGTGTTTTTTTATTTTATTTTATATGGTGTGACTTAATTATGTATGTTTGATAGAGGGATCCAAGATATGCTGAAAGGTCCCAAGTATGATGGAGAGTTCCTTAAGCAAATGCTAAGGATAAAGCTAGGAGGCATTCGGCTGCATCAAGCTTTGACTAATCTTGTCATTCCAACCTTTGACATCAAATCTTTCAAACCAATTATTTTCTCCTCCCGTGAGGTAATTAACCAATGGGTTCATTAATCTTGGATTACATGATTTCAAATATACAAAATTCTTAAATGTGTTTTGTTAATTAGTAAGTTTTAACGTTGGAATGAAGTTGGAACGTTATTATATTGTACAGGCTAATGTGTGTGGTGGTATGGATGCTTTGCTATCGGATGTGTGCATTGGGACATCTGCAGCGCCGACATATTTCCCTCCGTACAAATTTGTGAATCACGACATCCTAGGCGAGGAGTATGAGTTCAACCTCGTAGATGGTGCCGTGGTCGCAAACAATCCGGTTAGCAACAATACTTTTTTCTTAAAAAATAGAAAATAATACTTAATCGTAGTTGAAAATAATATCTCTGATGAACTTTAATTTGAAACTTAACGATAGCATGTTAGCTTGGATTCAGGTTAGCAATATGAATCAAAGGATTAACTCATTCTCACCTAAGTATTTGAAAAATTGGCTAACCAATCTACTCGTTCGGAAGAACTGACTGAGCTTGTTACATATATTATATTTAATATATCTAAGTTTAACAAAATGTAATTGATCGAGAATAAGAGAGAGGGTGAATGTAAGATAGAAACTAAAGTCTTTTTTTATAACTTGATATTGAATAATATTATTACAGAAAAATTACTTATAGGTAAAGAAAAAACTAACCACTATATCTCACTAACACCTACCACTAACCATTACCCCACTAACAAATACTACCACTAACCATTAAATAACAAATCTTTTTCTTTTGAAGAGTTGGTTTAATAATATGATAACAGCCTCTAATGACTTAAAAGGACATATGGAGTTTGTTGTAAGTCTCCTATATTCTTGCTAACACCCACAATCACAAGGGATATATAATATAGTCTAAAAGCACGTGTAATCATTTCATTTGTTATAGAATAGCGATCTAAGGCTATTTAGTCCATAAATACTATCTTGTATTTCAAAAATAAAAATAAAAATTATTAAGTTACCAAAAACTTCACTCTTATGCAATATCAAGCATCCATTTTATATGGCCCCAACAATCATTATTGTGTGGACCATATTTTATTTACTGTAAAATAATGTACATTTAATACAAAAATAATGTACATTCAGTATAAAAATAATGTACATTGTATTCAGGGGATGCACATTATTTTTGTTTTGAGTGTACATTATATTGTATAATGTACATTCAGCACAAAAATAATGTACATTTAGTATATTAAAAATATCTTTTTTATTATGATGGTCCACACAATAATTTGCCATGGCCCCAACTAAGAATCAAACTCATGACCACCCATTTAAAAGAGTCACTTTGTGCCACTAGATCACAAGGTCATTGGTTTGAGTTGTAGTGCTTTAATTTACACCAACACCGTCAATAAAACTCTACTAAAATAACGTGTTAATATATGTGTTATTAGTTATGATTATAAAGTTGTGAAAAAATAATACTATATATATTCTGGTGCTTGTTGATTGAATGTGGTTGAAGACCTTGGTTGGCCTAAGTGAAGCAAACAAGGTTGGGATGGAGAGAAGAAAAAACAAGTTTTTGTCAAAGAAGCTCAAGGCTATGGACTATAGTCAGCTTTTGGTCATCTCTTTAGGCACAGGCTCCCGGAATTTGGAGAACAAATACTGTGCTGAGGTGGCAGCCAAATGGAACGTTTTAGATTGGATGGTTCAAGTTGACACTGGAATCCCTACACTAATTTCATGCCCTCTCATCAACATGGTTTCCTATGGAATGTCCGATATGGTTGATTATCATATTTCTACCATCTTTCACTCTCTTAATGTTGGGGAAAATTATCTCAGAATTCAGGTATGTAACACAATTTCCGAATTAATTTCACTTTTAGTTCTATAGCTATTGGGGTGCTGTCAATTTGAGTCCACAATTTTCAAAACTAACAATTTACTAACTTAACTATTCAATTTTTATTAATTTTAGTCCGTCCGGTCAAATTGTCAGTCAATTGTCGCCGGAATCTTTTAATTCAGTGTTGAAATGGAAGCTAGTTATGTTTGTGAACCGTTGTTTGAATTAATACAGAGGCAGGTAGTATGTGGATAAAAAAATTTGACAACTGACCGGCAATTTGGCCGTATGGACTAAAATTGATAAAAATTGAATAGTTAGGCTACTAAATTGTTAGTTTTGAAAATTGTGGATTGAAATTGACAACACTACCCCAATAATCATAAGATTAAAAGTAAAATTAACTCTGTACTTAATATATGCATGCTTCCATAGCATTATAAAATTAAGTTTGAGACGAGTTTAATTCGAAAGTGCCTTAATTTAGGTTTTAACTGAGTAATAATTCAAGAAATGGCTCGATTCAGTTAATTATTGTTGGGGTTTATGAGGATGTACTAAACACTTGTTACAGGATAATACCTTAGATGGTACACTTGCAGCCATGGATAATGCTTCTTTGGAGAATATGATACACCTTCGAGAAATAGGTGAAAACTTGCTTAAACAACCTGTTTCAAAAGTGGATCTCAATTCTGGAGTATATATGCAAGTTTCAAAGGATTACACAAACGAGGACATTTTGAAAAAGTGAGGATCCTACTCTACATAATAATAATATGCACACATCACTCCCCTTTCCCACTCTACCCCCAACCACAGACACACATAATTATATTATACTGGAGAATATATATATATATATATATATATATATATATATATATATATATATATATATATATATATATATATATATATATATATATATATATATATATATAGTCATTTTAATTAATTGTCATGTTCAATTCATTAAATTTTACTACAAGATATTGGTTTTTTGTGTTTCAGATTTGCAAAAATACTGTCAAATCAGAAGAAAAACTACCCAAGAAAAAGATCCAAGTAGAATCACACAAAAACTCTCAATGAAATTCATCACATCTGAAAAGGAGAAAACAATCGAACTAAAAGTTTATCATTATTGATGAATAATACTTTATTAGAGTATTTCTGTGTTAAGTGTAATAATAATATAATATTCCATGCAAGCATATAACTAGTAGTATAATAAGATTTTTCTTTTTGAGTATAGTGATACTCCTAATTTTAATTGTTTGTTTTAATCAATGGAATTATTATTTTTTTTATCTCACAAATATAATTATACTTTTATTTTACTATATATATAGAAGGATGCCTTTTTTTTTAGAAGGATGGTCCTCACTATTAAAAATTGTATAAATTTATTATGTTAAATTTTTAGTAGTTGAAGAATCCCTTCTATCTAATTTTTAAACTAGATGAGAAAAACAGAGTCGCCAACAAAAAAAAAAAAAAAAAGACGTGTAAGGGTTTGTTTGTTAGATTGATGATTGATATGGGGTTTTAGTTATAAGTTTATGATTTAGGCTTGAATGATTTATTGAGTGACATGTATTAGTTTTTTTTTTTTTTATGTTTTTTAATTGTCGAATCATATTTGTATAATTTTGTATAATATAATCTTTATCCTATTTAAGAAAAAAGAAATTATTATTATTATTATTATTATTATTATTATTATTAAACACTCATGATTTTTTAATTTACAATGTAGTATATGTTTTATACTTTCGATCTCAATGGTAACAAATGTGTCATCATATTATATAATAATGTTCATTATTTTAAATAAAGGAAAATGTAGTTTTCATTTCGAATCGTTGACTATTGACTTTACATTCTAATTAATAATACTAGTATTTGCACCCGTGCGATGCACGGAATGAATTTGTTGTAATATATTGAGAATATATTAAGGGATATATAATTATTTAAATTAGAACATCAAATATTATATAGTACAATTAAAGATATGGTTTGGATCGTTTATATATTTTGATGTTATCATTGCTTGAATTTGTGCAAATAATTGCTTAAATGAATATATAGCTAATATCTAGATGTACGCATGCGGTGCTATAACTTTGAAGATTTTATTTATCATTGTTTAGTATTTTCATAAATTAGACAAATGTGCTCGTTCTCTAACAACTCAGTTATAGAAATGAATTGATATCCTTATTCATTTGTATGGAAGATATATATATTTTTTTCTAGATATATAACAACTTTTTCATTTAAAAAAAAAAAACTTAATATCATTGATTATATTTACACATTATTGAAACATCTTTGTAGACGACATTGGTAGTGGCAACACAATCTTGTTCATCTTCGTCTAGAGCTAACACATTCACTTCATCAAGACGGGTTACTTGGGTGAAAATATATAATAGTAGAATATCACTGAATTAGTTATCCTTTTATATTTTCAGTCAGTTAATAATATTAAATTCATTTTCAGACAATTATTTTTTTTATTTTCAGTCAATTAGAATATCAAATGCAATGATATTTTTACCTAATTTTCGTTCCATTTTTATTTGATGATGTAGATACTATTATTGAAATATTTATGTTATATTTTTAATTTACCTTTACTATTGTTTAAAATATGCATTTGCTATTGATAATGTAGAATATTATTATTGAAATATTTTTCTCTAATTTTTAATTTCCATTCCATTTTTAATTATAATGCAATGATATGACTTTTTTTTAGTCAATTATGAATCATTTTTTTTTATTTGCAATCAATTATCAATATTCATTCCTTTTATATATTCAGTCAATTAGTAATATCATATTCATTTTCAGTCAATTATTTTTTATTTATTTTAATTCAATTAGTCAATTAGAATATAGATGCATTGATATTTTTACCTAATTTCAGTTTCATTTTAATTTGAAGATGTAGAATATTATTAATGAAATATTTTCGTTTCATTTTTAAGTTACCATTACTATTTTTTAAAAAATATACATTTACTATTTGATGATGTAAAATATTATTATTGAAATATTTCCTTTCCATTTTTAATTTTCCTTTACTTCTCTCTCAAAAAGAAAAAAAAAAGACATTGGACTTCTCAATATTTGCCCACATTGATGTGCAAGCAATTATGTTTGTAAGAGGAGATCAAGAGCTTATTTTTTCAAACATTTTCAATGTGAGATCAAAATGATCCCACATCATTTACAAAGGGAGCCACGGGCTCCCATTTGTCTTTTTAAAAAAAAAAAATTAATTGTATTTTGTATATCATTTTGTTTGAATTATTATTATTATTATTGAAAAATTCGTCATTTTAACAATTTATCTTTAATCAAAATACCAAAAATATTATTTAATAACTCAGTAATTTACTCCAAACTACTAAAAACTAAAACAACACTACATTTTGGGTTAATCTCTCCAAACTCCCACTAATAATAAATAAATAAATAATAAATAATACATAATAAATAATAAATAAATAAATAAACTAAAATAAGAAGACAAAACTACAATTTCTTAAATAATAACCTTTTGACTTCTCAATACTTGTCACATTGATGGGCAAACAATTATGTTTGTAACTCTTATATAGAGGAGGTCAAGAGCACATCTTTTCAAATATTTTCACTATGTGCATAATTATAGAACTATATATTCATAGTTTTTGAACTATATATATATTCATAATTATGAACAATTTTAGAACATTGTCTACCTTGCAAGGTGGACACGATCCCACAACATAATTTGTCGGGTCCATAGTGCTCAAAAAAAAAAAAAAAAAAAAAAAAAAAAAAAAAACCTTTGAAATTTTCAATACTTGTCCACATTGAGGAGCATTGCTCCTCTTATATATAGGAGCTCAAAAGCTCATCTTTCCAAACATTTTCAATGTGAGATCAAAATGATCCAACATCATTTACAAAGGGGAGCACGCGGCTCCCTTTTGTCTTCTTCTTATTTTTTTAAATTTTAATTTTATTTTGTTTATCGTTTTGTTTGATTATTATTATTATTTGATTACTGATAAATACGCTATAATTTTAATAAATTTGTCATTTTAACATTTTAACTTTAACCAAAACACTAAAAAAAATTATATAATAACTCAGTAATTTGCTCCAAATTGCTAAAAACTAATACAACACATACATTTTGGGTTAATCTTTCACAAACCCCACTAATAATAAATAAATAAACAAATAAAAAATAATAAATAAATAAAAACTAAAATAAGAAGACAAAGCAAAGGCTTCTTAAATAAAAACGTTTTGACTTCTCAATACTTGCCCACATTGTTGGGCAAGCAATTATATTTGTAAGAGGAGCATTTGCTCCTCTTATATAGAGGAGTTCTCTCTTTTCAAACATTTTCAATCTGGGATCAAAATGATCACACATCATTTACAAAGGGAGTTCGTGACTCCACTTTGTCTTTTTTTTTTAAACTTAATTTTATTTTGTATATAGGTTTGTTTGGATTATTATTATTATTATTATTATTATTATTATTATTATTATTATTATTATTATTGTTGTTGTTGTTGTTGTTGTTGTTGTTGTTGTTGTTGTTGTTGTAATTTGATTATTTGGCAAATTAGTCAAAATTTTAAGAAATTCGTCTGTTTAACATTTTATATTTAATCAAAACACCAAAAATATTATTTAATAACTTAGCAATTTGCTCCAAACTGCTAAAAACTAAAACAACACACATACATTTTGGGTTAATCTTTATCAAACCCCCTAATAAATTTAAAAATTAAAAAAATAACTAAAATAAGAAGTCATTAAGATATAGAGTTTCTTAAATAAGAGTCTTTTGACATGTTGGGTTTCAATATGTTGAGAAAGTTTATATGAACAGATATTACATGTAACAGTGTGAATCGAATAGTTATGTTGTGGAATCGTGTCGACCTTGCAAGGTGGACACAATTCTATGTTAATAATGACTTAACTATATGTTCATAATTATAAAGCTAAATATTCATAATCTTTGAACTTCATATTCATAATTATTGAATTCTATATTCATAATTACAGAATTTTATGTTTATAGTTACTGAATTATATGTTCATAATTATAAAGATATATATTCATAATTTTTGAACTTCATATTCATAATTATTGAATCTATATATTCATAATTACATACCTATATGTTCATAATTATGTTCACAACACTATGTTCATAATTATAAAACTATATATTCATAATTTTTGAACTATATATTCATAATTATGAACAATTTTAGAACCGTGTCTACCTTGCTAGGTGGACACGATTCCACAACATAATTTGACGGGTCAATAGTACTAAAAAAAAAAGTCTTTGGACTTCTCAATACTTGCCCGCATTGATGGGCAAACAATTATGTTTGTAAGAGGAGCTCAATAGCTCCTTTCCAAATATTTTCAATGTGGAATGAAAATGATCCAAACATCATTTACAAAGGGGGAGCCCCTGGCTCCCTTTTATCTTCTTCTTCTTATTTTTTTTTTAATTTTAATTTTATTTTGTATATCGTTTTGTTTGGATTATTATTATTATTATTATTATTATTATTATTATTATTATTATTATTATTATTATTATTATTATTATTATTGTTGTTGTTGTTGTTGTTGTTGTTGTTGTTATTATTTTAATTTGATTTTATTATTATTACATAGGATTTTTATTATACTTGAACAATAATATTATCAATTATATTATAAAATATAATACCATACATAATATTACCAATTATGTAATATTACAATTAATAAATTTTATTTATTTCCATTTGATATTTACTTATCAAATAAGGTTTACTACAAAAGTTTGGGCGGGAAAATGAAGTAGGATAATTTTGTTTTTTGTTTATATGTATATGTATGTGTGTGTGTATATATATATATATATATATATATATATATATATATATATATATATACTTTTAATTCTATTATTATAAGCATTGTTTGTGTATATATTTTAAGAACATATTCATTATGAAAAAGGGGATATAATTTAAAAAGTAAATTATTAATTAAATTACCTAATATAATTGTCTTACTAATTGATTCCATGCTACTATGTATAATTCATATATTTGAAAAAATTTTAAAGCTAAATACCTATGAATTGCCTTAATAATTAAGATAATTTTTAGTCAATCAATCTTTAATATTACTAAAAGTATTATTTTGATTTTTTAAAATAAGATATAATATTATTAAACCGAAATAATTAAAAATAATGTGTACAATTTTTTTTTAAAAAAACCAAAGGAATTTTCATTTCCTTCTTGAAAATAATGTGTACATATTACCAAAGATTTTATAATAGTAATTTTTATTGCCTAATAGAATTTGTCAATTATTAAACATTGTTTATGGTAATTATTGTTTGACATTTGATACTAAAATTATTAGGTAGAATTTTTATAATTAAGGTATAATATTACTCTTGATAAAATTGTCACATTGGCAAAATCTATTACTGTCTAATACACATTAAAAAAAATCATATTTGTCCAAAAATGCAGTGAGATTTCAGTCTTAAAATAAAACATATCATTACAAAAGATAGAACCACAATATTTGAGCACAAATCAGCATTTACTTAGTACACTAAATATGTAATTCGTTCCACAATTCCGTTTCTTTGTCTAGTTTAGGTACTTTTTTATACATTATATTGATTATTGAAATCAAATTTATTAAAAATAATGTGTCCTCAATATAAAATAAATTATACTTGTCTTAATAATTATTTATTAATATAAATTTACAATTATAAATTTATATAACAAAAGCATAGAAACTTTTGGTTACAAAAAAAAAAAGTCTCTCAAATTCCTTTTTCTCTTTCCTCACCATCACATTCCCACTCTCTCTAGAAAAAAAAAAAAAAAAAGGCAAAATAGGATGAGAAGTGGCTTTCATCTACAACGTCCTCACCCCTCAATTCGATTTAGCTTTAGCTTGATTGCTCTTTTGCCCAACGAACCACGTAAACTATTAACGCTGCTTGTTAAAAAAAAAAACATAAAAACTTGAATGGCATGTACAAATCTCGAAGTCAACATACTGAGAAGTCTAAAGGTTCTTATTTAGGAAAAGTCTTAGCTTTGTCTTCTTATTTTAGTTTTTATTTATTTATTTATTTATTTATTATTAGTGTGGTTGTGAAATATTAACCCAAAATGTATGTGTTGTATTAGTTTTTAGTAATTTGGAGCAAATTACTGAGTTATTATATATTTTGTGTATGTTTTTTTAAAAGTTAAAATGTTAAAATGACGAATTTGTTAAAATTTTGGAGAATTTATCAGTAATCAAATTACAACAACAACAACAACAACAACAACAACAACAACAACAACAACAACAATAATAATAATAATAATAATAATAATAATAATAATAATAATAATAATAATCCAAACAAAAGGATATACACAATAAAATTAAAATTTTAAAAAATAAGAAAAGACAAAAGAGAGCCATAGGCTCCACTTTGTAAATGATATTTGATCTTTTGATCCCACATTGAAAATGTTTGGAACGATGAGCTTTTGAGCTCCTCTATATAGGAGGAGCATTGCTCCTCTTTCAAACATAATTGTTTGCCAATCAATGTGAGCAAGTATTGAAAAGTGCAACTTTTTTTTTTTTTAGCACTATTGACTCGGCAAATTATGCTGTGAAATTGTGTCCACCTTGCAAGGTAGACATGGTTCTAAAATTGTTCATAATTATGAATATATATAGTTCAATCTCAATTTTTTTTTAAAATCGTCAATAATCAAATAATAATAATAATAATAATAATAATAATAATAATAATAATAATAATAATAATAATAATCATCATCATCATAGTATCATACAAACAAAACGATATACAAAATAAAATTAAAATTAGAAAAAAAATAAGAAGAATGATGTGTGATCATTTTGATCTCACATTGAAAATTGGAAAGAAAAACTCTTGAAAATGTTTACAAACATAATTGCTTGCCCATCAATGTGGGCAAGTAGTGAGAAGTCCAAAGTTTTGTTTGTTTTGTTTAGAAGTAAAGGAAAATTAAAAATGGAAAGGAAATATTTCTAACAGTAATTTTTTACATCAAGTAAAATCATATTTTAAAAAATAGCAAATGTAAATTACAAATGGAACAAAAATATTTCATTAATAATATTCTACATCATCAAATTAAAATGTAACGAAAATTAGATAAAAATATCAGTATATCTATATTCTAATTAACTAATTGACTGAAAATAAAAAAATAATTGACTGAAAATAAATCTAATATTACTAATTGACTGAAAATATAAAAGAAAATGAATATTAATAATTGACTGCAAATAAAAAATGATCCATAATTGACTAAAATAAAAAAAAGGATCAGATCACTGCATTTTAATTAAAAATGGAATGAAAATTAAAAATTGGAGGAAAATATTTCAATAATAATATTCTACATTATCAATAGTAAATGCATATATTAAACAATAGTAAATGTAAATTAAAAATGGAACGAAAATATTTCAATAATAATATCTACATCATCAATTAAAAATGGAACGAAAATTAGGTAAAAATATCACTATATTTGATATTCTAATTGACTAATTGACTGAAAATAAAAAAGAAATAATTGGCTGAAAATGAATCTGATATCACTAAATGACTGAAAATATAAAAGGATAACTAATTTAGTACTATTATACCATTATATATTTTAACAGTAACCCGTCCGGATGGATTAAAGGTGTTAGCTCTAGACGAACATGAACAAGATTGTGTTGTCACTACCAATGTCGTCTACAAAGAGGTTTCATTAATTTGTAAATATAATCGGCGATATTAAGTTTTTTTTTAAATGAATAAATTGCTATATATCTAGACAAAAAAATATATCTTCCATACAAATGAATAAGAATACCAATTCATTTCTATAATTGAGTTGTTAGAGAAGGAACACATTTGCCTAATTTATGAAAATACTAAATAATGATAAATAAAATCTTCAAAGTTATAGTACCGTACCAATTATTTGCACAAATTCAAGAAATGATAACATTAAAATATATTAACAATCCAAACTATATATTTAATTGCACTATATAATATTTGATGTTCTAATTTAAATAATTATATATCAATTCATATATTCTTAATATATTACAACAAATTCATTCCGTACTTCGCATAAGTGCAAATACTAGTTGTGAATAATATTTTTGTTCAAATGGTTGATATTACAAAAAGACGTCGATAATATTGAAGATGAATAATAAATAGCAGGCATTATTAATAGAAGCTATATATTTGATGTCCTAGAATATTGTGTCAACGTTTAGATTTTCCATGTTTAATGGATTGCCTTGGATACGTAATACACGTTTAAGAGGAGCGTTTCTGCAACAAAAATGACTACAACTCTACAGTAATCTTAGCCTGCTCCTCCTCCTCGTTGGAGACCTAGCTTCTGGAAAATGGCTAAAAATCGATCTGAACCCAAGAAATCCGTAGAAGCAGCAGAAGAAGAATCTTCAACAGACAATGAAGGTTCGGAGTCCGACTCAGAATCGGAACCGGAACCGGAACCGGAGAAAACCCAAACTCAAATGCAGATTGCCAAAAGTCCATCCGAGGCGGCAATGAAGGTCACCGAAGCATCATCTACGCCGGCCAAAATTCAGGCCACTTCGTCGTCTTCATATGAGACTGATTCCGAATCGGATTCCGAGTCCGAGTCTCAAAAACCCGCCCCGATTATTAAACCTACGGATGACCCACGTGAATCCGCCCAAACCAAGCCGAGAAAATCCGATGCGGACAGAGAAGTGACAGAATCTAAGAGGCAGAAGCGAAATCCGGAAGAAATCTCTGAGATTAAAGCATCGGCAGACGAGTCGAAGAAACAGCTATTCCAGAGACTGTGGAGCGAAGACGATGAAATAGCTCTTCTGGAGGGAATGATCGAGTACACGGAGAAGGAGAATGGCGATCCTTATACTGACTTGGACGCGTTTCATGATTTCATACGAAACTCTCTGCATTTCACAGTGAGCAAAAAGCAGGTGCAAAATAAGATGAAGCGAATGAAGAAAAAGTACATAAACAACGCCGGAAAGGGGAAGAAGTCATTCTCGAAACCCCACGAGCAAAAAACCTATCAAGTGTCCAGGAAAATATGGGGGAAGGGGGATGAGAAAATGGAGGATAGCAGTCAAGTAACAGTTGTTCACGCTCTGATGGCCTACAATGGAAGTGCCAAAATCAATAAAAATTCGATGAAGAAAGCTCCGGTGGTTGAGGACGCCATTGAAACGCCTGCTGCTGCTTCGAGTGGATGGAAGAATTCATTGTCGAAGAACAAGGGGGGTATTGTGATCAGTGAGGAGAAGAGAAGGGAAATTGAGAAGAAGCGGAAAGCTGTGGTAGTAGCTGAGATCGATCTGTTCTTGAAGGAGCTAGAGCTGATTCAAGAACAAGTGAAGGCGACTTTGGGCGCCATGAAGTAGTAGTCTCTGAAAATCAAGTTATTAAAAGTTCAGTTTTTAGCCCTCTCTCTGTTTTCATATTTTGCTAAGTCAAACATGAATGGTGGAATCCTCTTTAATTTGCATATAAATTATTACTCACTTTGTCCCATTGTGTTTGATTCAGTTATGACTGAAGTTATTTTTAATCCAACTAGTATTTTCGCCCATAGAATGTATAGAATGGATTTGTTAAAATATTTTAGAATATATGGATTTATATCTACCTATACATCTGCAATCTACAATACATACAATACAATACAATTAGAGTTAATTCCAGTAATGATTCTCTGACTATTGCGATTTTTCAAAATTAGTCCTCAACTTTTAATTTGGACAAAAGACACTTTGACTTTTAAATTTGTTCCAATAATGATCCTTCTATCAAATATCAGTTAGAGTGGCGTTAAGTAGAGGGGTAGTGTAGTCATTTACTTAATTACTTTCTTCTTTCTCGCTCTTGCAAATACATTGTCATGCTTAATTCTCTCTTCCAGCTCACGCTTGAAATCGTGATGTTCGGCGACGACACTCCGGCCTCCTCCTCCGCGTCGGTGACTACCAGCACCCTGTTCATATCTATCCCTTTCAACAACGTCCGAGTCTCCGCCCTGCATGTCTCCGAGTTCCGATCTACACATAAATACACAAAAGCTAATTAAGCTTTTTATCCACTACAAAGCTTTCTCTTCTCTTTCAATACCCAATCAAAGTTGGGATCTATTACGCCATTTCAGATCAGCAAAACAATACATATATACAGGCTCTTTAAAGCAAGAAAAAGACAGGAAAAAAGTCACAATTTTCCCTTGTTTTCTTTTTAAATTTTCAAGAAAAAAAAATAAAAAGTAAGATTTTGAGCAGATATGAAACTTGAGGAAGGGAAAGATTCAGGCCCCCTAGGGAGACTTGTGGAAGAGATTGAAAGGTGAAGGGTGAGCAGCAAGGGATTATTGAGGTGCGGTAATGGCGTCGCAGAAGTAGAGTTTCTACTGATCTCCAGAAAGCTCAAGCTCAAACTCAACCCCAAATCTTCTTTTCCCACCATCATTTTGTTTTCTCAGAATACCACCAAAATCTCACTCAGCCTGGTTCAATTCTTAAAAGACAGACACAGATGGTTGTAGCAGATGCAGAGGGTATATATTTGAAAATCTTGAAAACAAAAAGAGGATGGAGGAGAGTTGAAGGATACGTATTTGCAGGAAGAAGAATAAAGCAATTAAGGAAATGACTATACTACCCCTCTACTTAACGCACCTTAACTGATATTTGACGAAAGGACCGTTGTCGGAACAAATTTAAAAGTCGAGTGTCTTTTTTGTCCAAATTAAAAGTCGATGACCAATTTTGAAAAATCGCAATAGTTGGAGGACCATTGCTGGAATTCACTCATACAATTATTATATATACAATTCTAATAAGAGCCAATAATGTTAGGCACTTAACTTGAACAAAAAAATGTGGGTACCATTGTTTCTTAAAATGAATGGTTAATATTATTTTGATTTTAGTATGTTTTTAATGATTTTCCTTATTTACCCTCTATTATATTATTTTATTCCCTTAAATAACCCTAAACTCCGTTAGAATAAACTTTAGTAAGAGAATATTCCGTTAACTATTTATTATTCTTAACTTACTTATTAATTTCTATAAGAAAGGTCTTCGGTTCTAACCTCACTCCAATCAGAGTTGGCATAATTCTAAAATGTATACTACGCGTATGTTAAAAAATACAATATAAAATTTAAATAAACTTTGGTCAAATAATTAGCCCAACTAAATAAATAACATTCAAAATTGCATCAAAGATTATAAATCAGTAACCTTGCGGTCATTTTCTTGCATTTAAAAAAAAAAAACGAATTTAAGTTAAGTTTTTTTTTTTTTTCATTTAATTAATTTATAACTAGATGTCTATATTGCCTTTATTCAAAAATAAAATTCATTATAAAAACATAAAAAACGTATATAATTTCATTAATTATATTATCTTTATTTTCTACAATTCAAAGATTTCGTACCTTCAAATTTATTAATCAATTATATTCACTATATTGTCATTGTCTTGTTTTTACAATATATTGTAATTAAATCCATTTTATGGCGTATTGGCGTGAATGCAGTTTTTATGGCTTTCAAAAATTTGAATAATAATGGTGACTTGGTGTGAATGCATGAATGCAGTTTTTATGGTTTTCAAAAATTTGAATAATAATGGTGACTTGGTGATGCTTTCAAAAAACAAATTAATGGTGATATATATAATTTTATATAAATAATGAGATGTGTAATTTATAATGTATTTTTTATTAGAATTATTTTATCAAATAATTATGTTTCATATTTTGTTATAAATATTTTTATAAAGTTTTGATGTGTTTTATATTTCGCTCATATCTAATAATATTAAAGTTTTGATGTGTTTTATTTTTCGCTCATATCTAACAATATTTATGGCTAACTTCTTAAGTGTTTCATTTTTTTAAGCCATATATTTTGTTTTAATGTTTCGCCGCCCTACTAAAAAAAATTGATGGATATGTCCCTGATTTAGAAGATTTTGATGCTTGACATTTTGTTATAGAATTAGAAAACTTTTATTATTTGAACTTCGCCCCCACTCAACTATTTTTCTGGGTCCGTCACTGTTCATAGACATAAAATTTCACAATACAAGACATAAAAATTCATAACAATATGACACAATTACTAATTTGTTTCAGGTATAGAATTCATACTCTTAAAGATACAAAATTTCATAATACAAGACACAAAAAACTCACAAAATAAAATATATACATATGCACCAGGGACCACAGTCCACTGTGAACCTTGATCCATTGTATAAGGATTGGTTAATGAGAAAATATTTGATGCACCGGCGTTATATAGGTGCTATACAACGGCGGTGAACTAGAACACGCCACCTCATTAAATTTTAAAATCAATTTTGACTGAACCTTTTATGCAAATTATAATAATTTTAATATGGTATAATTATTATGATTTCTTTTATTAAAAATAATTATTATAATCAATCAATTAAAACTAAATAATAGTAATCAGATTTTCCAAATAACCATATATCTCTAAATTCCTGAACCGTGATTCTGTATTCTCTCAATCTCTCTAAATCCACGATCTCTTCTTCTTTGCAATGGATTTTTCCTTCGGACTTCTTCCTCTAAAGGCACGAATTTCATTTTTTATTTTTATTTTTTATAAAAGAACAGAAACAGAAAGGAATAGAACCCCATGGAGAAAACACAGAGAACAAACAAGGTTCTATTCTTCCCTGGCATAAGGCCCTCCGAACAGATTCTTTTGAAGAGTCATTTCCAGTTCCTGAGGGGGAAAACTCAGCAGAGAAACCACACCAGTAGACCAGAAGCCACAATGAGCAAGCCAATTAACAACACAATTTTGTTCTCGGTGCACATGACAACAATCCACAACCCAGTCGCGCTTTAACCAAAGCTTGCATTCATTGATAATATTGCAGAGATGCCCACCTCTATCACAGCTCGAGCAACAATCATTGAGCCAATTAATAATATTCATGGAGTCACTATGTAAAGAAACACGACTGATGGATTTAATTAACCCGGGGTGGACCCGAATCAATAAATCCGGATAAGAACGTAATATAAATAATAAATAAATAAACGAAACGATGTCGTAAGGCCGTGAGACCGTATATTGTATTAAATACCGTAAATTGGCTATTACAATGTTTCTCGGGACAAAGTGTATGTAATAGATGCAGAATGTGTCTTGTTAGGACAGGGAGGGGGTTTTTTATACAAGCTAAACCCCCCAATCGCCTCCCCCTAAATCGGGGGGGGGGGGGGGGGGGCGGGTGAACCGGGTCGGGTCGGGTCCCGAGCTCGGGTAGGGTCGTGCCATCCGACCCGAGCCCCACGTAGGTCGGCTCAGGTCGGGGCACCTCCATGGTGTCGTGGCCCGGGTGCTTTTGGGCTCCAATGTGGTGCTCCGGGTCCGTGTTGCTCTTGGGCTCCAACGTGGTGCTCCGGGTCCATGTTGCTACCCCGGGTCGGGTCGTGGGTATAATGTATCCATCATGAGTCCCCCACTCTCTTCGTTGCGAGTGGAAGTCAACGAATGAGAGTATCCGTGCGCCGACCCGAGCCCCCTAGGTGGAAAATTCCGAGCTCCAAATTTTAGCCGACCCCCTCCAAGAATTATAACGCGGATAAAATTCTTCCTCCGCAAAAATTCTTTTCAGATGACTTGAATCCCTACAAAAGTGCAACACTCCCCTATAAAAGCCTTGGAAACCCTCCCTTATTAAATCCTACCAACTTTTCCTCTCCCATCACCATCAATTCTCTCTCTTCCCAACCCCCTTTTTGAATCTCAAAAATTTGGTCAACCCTTTTCCCCCCTTCTCTCTCCTCCCTTACTCTCCCAACACCCTATTTAACCCCCCCTCCCCCCCCCCCCCCCCAAACCCCTCATTTTCGGCCAAGCGAATCTGAGGCGGTAAAGGATCACCGCCCAAGCTTCCGCCATGTCCGGATTGCAGTTGCAAATTCTACCTTGGAATCCAAAGAGCCAGTTACCATTATGGTCCCTGAGGACGCCACTACACCCAGCCAACCTATTCTGTTTATTCCAGTAATCATCCACATGCATTTAAGGAGACCCATCCCTCTTTTGGTTTGGACCAGCAAAGGAGGGAGGGAGCAGAGTTCCTTCGTTTCATAGTAGGACTGAAAGTATCATCCAGAGCATTATGGACAGCGTTGTTTATTCTCTGTGTTTTCTCCATGGGGTTCTATTCCTTCCTGTTCTTTTATAAAAAAAAAAAAATGAAATTCGTGCCTTTAGAGGAAGAAGACAGAAGGAAAAATCCATTGCAAAAAAGAAGAGCTCATGAATTTAGAGAGATTGAGAGAATACATAATCACGGTTCAGGAGTTTAGAGATAAATGATTATTTGAAAAATCTTA